TCCTCCTTTTCGTCTAGCCTAGCTATGGAGTATCTCTGAAGCGCCCTCTTCTTCTTCAGGCGCACAGTGCCCAAGTTGTTTTAACGCACAAGCAGCAGCAGCACTTCCGCATCTCACAACTGAACAAGCGATGAGCCACTGCACTGTAGCAGCTAAATATAGGGCTTGGCTTGGCTTGGCCTGGCTTGGCCCACTTCAGATTGGTACCGTTCGGCCTGTCTGCTGCAAACATTTTGGCGGTCTGGTAGCTTCCAGACTTTCCTGGGACATGCTGCAAAATTGGACTTGGGACTGTCGGACTGGACCGGACGCTTCTGGACTTTTCTTGTTGGGTAGCGGAAGGACTCCTACCGACCTACGATGCTTCGGTAACGACACCGACCGACCTACGATGCTTCAGCCTTTAGACCCTACAGCCTACCCTACGGGAGGGCCATGGGATTTGGGACTTGTTGGGACCTTGGGATTGGGACTGGGTGTCCGCAGTGTGAATCGTAGCACAAGTGTGCCGCTTTGGCGGCAGACTTGTGTGTGGGCACTTGGCGCTGAATTACACAAACGTGGCCAACCTTGCATTTTCTATTATATTAGCTATCTATACCTTCTTGTTATGGATGCATGTTTTGTCTGATGTGGAGGAAATGACAAAGAGAATTTGGGGTGCTTTAACAACACAGACACCTACACACAATGGTGTTTTTCATTGAGAGGCGCATGGAGGGTGGGTGGAAGACTAGCTCTCTCTCTTTCAGCGGTGTTGTGTGTGAAGAGGTGGAGAGCTCCCTTCACACTCTACCCAAAAACGAAATAGTGGGGCTGCTAGGTTGTAAGCGGGACATGATTTATGCATGGTTGCTATCGGAAGGTGTACGCGAGAATCATGTCGTGAATGAGAAGAGGCAGGGGGAGATGGACCACCAGGGGGAGGTCAGGTGCCTGGTCAGGCAGGGAGGAGAAGGTCGCCATGGAATTTTTTGGGGCTGGAGTAGATGAATAACGATGAAGTGGGATGGTGAGGATGTGGAATCAGGAGCAGGAGGGTCTGAATTTGGTCGGTTAGCGTCACAAACACCCCTTCCTCTTTCTCTCTCTCACTGCATCTCTCTCTCTTTCTCTAACAGAGAGGGGTGTTTCTGACTCTACTTTGTTTTTGAGAGACAAAACTCTTATAGCTGAGGGGGAGAGTATCGCCAGCTGCTCATCTTAACAGAGTATAGGATATCCATTTGATGATACGTTAAACAAAAACTGAAGATTCTATCCCCAACGTCATGAAAGGGAAGATTCATTGACAAAACAAAGAAAAAGAAAGATTCAACCACTTGCATCCTGAGAAATATTCGACCCCTTTCATCCACAGATGAAGGTTCAACCCAAGGAAAAGTTTTTTTGGGGGGGGTGGGGGGGGGGTCTGGAGGGAGGGAGAGAGAGAGAGAGAGAGAGAGAAATTCAGGGGATAGTAGGAGGGAGGGAGGTTCAATTTCGAGTTTTCTTTTGACGCTGTATCCAAAGTCTTTCTGCGATTGCTGTGATGTTTGCTGTTCCCTGTTTCTAGACTGAAAAAGATTGACAATGAGAGAGAGAGAGAGAGAGAGAGAGAGAGAGAGAGAGAGAGAGAGAGAGAGAGAGAGAGAGAAATTCAGGGGATAGTAGGAGGGAGGGAGGTTCAATTTCTAGTTTTCTTTTGACGCTGTATCCAAAGTCTTTCTGCTATTTCTGTGATGTTTGCTGTTCCCTGTTTCTAGACTGAAAAAGATTGACAATGAGTGTTTTGCTTGCAGGGTATGTTTATCTGGATATCATTAACCAAACCCGTCCATTGTTGCTCGATAGAGAACTATTAGAATTTGTTACTGTGGATCACATGTTGGGTGTTTCATTGTAAAGTTATTGGGAGAATATGGTTGCTCACTTGTGGCCAAAAAGAAAGAATAAAAGTGGCTTCATTCTATTTTTCTTGCAGGCGGGTCTGCCAATTCCCAGTGTGCCTATGTGGTACTTCGTACCTACTATTTTCAGACTTTGTTTCACTGAGGTACTTGTGGAAAGCAGAAAAATGTTGCATGTATGGACGTCAGTTGCAAAAGTCACTCAATTTTTGCTTGTGTGGGCATCCGCCAATAGACAGGAACGAGCTTGTCTAAGCCTTCCCTTTAATATCTGGTGTTTGCTTGCAGGTTGCGAAGAGGCTGGAGTGTGCTGTTGGCCGTGTACGTCTCGTTCATCAAGGCCGTGAGCTCGTCCATGATGCTCAGGTTGGTGTGCTTGTTCTATATTTTTTCCCCTTGATAAAATATTCATTTGTCTTTTCTTTAAATAAAACAAGTCCTTATGCTCCTTGCTATAGTTCATTGTGGCTTTCCTCCTTGTACCTTTTTGCTCGAATTCAGAGAGTTGCCACCTCTCTTTAAAGGTGCAGGTGTCTACTGAGAATCGCAGCATAGGCAGACCTTGCATCTGGTTTCAATTGTTGTTCGTATAATTCTGGGGAGCGTCATTCCAGTCCTTTTTCTCCCAGTAAGTCGAAAACACATAATTTATTCACTCGTGTATCCTTCGATTTGGTTGGCGGGTCCCTAATCAGCATTGATTGCTCCGTGTTACAGGGGGATTGACTATCAGCTTGCCCGCCCTTCTCATGTATTCCTCTCAGGTTTTGTGTGTGACGATGTCAGCTTCAACTTTTTGCATCTAGAACTACGAGAAGGCATCATTGAACCCCCTCATACGGGGCATTCGCCGAGTGCGTACAACCATCCCGTTGCATGCTTATCAGTGTTGTGGCTTTCCTTCTGGTTGTCACGACCTGGCTGGGTTTTGGGATATCTCTGTCTGGGAATTGTGCTTCCATGGTGCAGTTTCTGAATCGTGCTCATCCATGAGTTTCAACTGCATGTTGTTGATGCCCGTTGTTGAGCGCATTGGTCCTTCAGGGGGACCCTCCAGACCGCGTCACACAGGATTTAGCAGGACTTCACGGAGTTCTGCCGCTCGGGCCGAGTGTGAATGCCATACTTCTCGCGAACCCCTGCGACAAGATACGGTCATGCGAGGTAGAACTTATCTCGACCTACGGGAGTTGTCACCATTCCTTCAGTGGGTGTATCCCCACGGAGCTGCCAAACTATGTGAGAAAGCTTCTCGGGTGCAATTACATCTGTGGCCCAGCCGAGGGCGTTTCTCGATCGCTGTAGCATAGGGGGTATGTGCGGTCGGACCTGTACGCGAACCGTCGCTTAGGCTCTAATCTCCCAAGCGTGATTCTGCGCCGGTCGACTAGATGACCAATCTAGCAATTCGATACACTTGCAAAGTCCCTTTTTCAGTTCGACCCATAATTGTTTCGGTGTGTGAACAAGCAGACATCGCACACTGTCGCACTTTTTCCAGTCAGGCCACTTCTGGTGACCAGAAAGCCAACAGGCTGTCACGCAGGATTTTGATGACTTTTGCAATAAATAACTTAAGTAATGCGAATCCCTTTGTGTTCTGTATGTCCGGCTTCGAGTGAGACCCTTCAATTGCGGTCATCACCGGTCCCCTGTCTTAAACCACCGGTACTTGGCCCTGCTATCGATACCAAGCCTGGAAACGGGCTGCATGCCGTTTTGTGCCGACTCTCAAGCGCAACCAAAAAAAAATTGTTTTGGCTGGCGGTGCCAGCTTTTGAGGGCTGGTAACCCGAGCCTCTGGAAGTTGCGGGGTGTTAAAGACAGTGCCGCGCGGCCGATGTATGGGCCAAGTAGTGGTGGTTTAAGAATCTTTTATTATGATTCGGAACAGCGAAGATCATGCATGTAATAATTGTAAAATTTCAGTATGTCTTGCATATTGGAGGTTGTCAATTTACTAATTTTGAGAACTGTGACAAGATCATCAGAAAGCATAACTTCAAGCGAGGTCAATGGAAGTAGAGCAGGACTGACTGACTCCAGGAAAGGATGAGATAAACGAGGGAAATTGAGAACTCGTAATAATCTCAGAAATTACAAATGAAAAGACATTGCCAGCACTTGTCAAGAGTCCTCGCTCATTTCTCTTAACTCTCGTCCTCAATCTTTCATTTGACTGTGCGTCTCTCGTGCCTTGAGCCATGCCCATGTACTTCACGAGGTTGTAGCCTAGGGATGGAGAGCCACCTAAAGCCATCAAGTTTCACATATGTCCAAAGATACGAAAGTCAACCATAGCACAAAGCTCCTCCCACAGAGTAGGAAGGTAAGGCTTGGAGAATATCCCTCGTCTGAGGTGCTGAAACTTTGAGGGTTCGGTCACTGCCATGTAGTCAATCTCTGCAGGGGAGATATACCTCTTGGCCAATTTAACCAGGTCACCCTAATAAGAACCATCTGAGAGAAAAAAAGGGACTGGAGGCCTGGGGTAATCTGTATAGAGCTTGGGTCCAAAGCTACGGATCGGTGTTGTACCACTCTCATCAAGGTCACGCCCTCTCTCCTCAAGGTATGAATCAAAGTGCTCATGGGTTTCATTGCCCTTTTTCACAAAGGGCCTCAGGTCATGATTTACAGATCCTCTTGTTTGAAACAAACTGAATATCGACATATTGATACTGGAAAGTATCCTTGGAAACAATCCCGTTGAGACTGGAATTGAGGAGATAGTACTCATGTCAGAATGTATGCTGGAAACAGATCAAGGTAATGACAAATTCTGATTGATAGTGATCAAAGGAGTATTGATGATAGCTTCCACTAACTGAGTGTCAGCGATGAGGGCACTGATTGATTGATACAGGTTTGAAAATTAATATTAATGATGTCTTGGATGCTTGGAAGGCTGTTGAGTAACTAGCCACTGGTCACCGAAAATCGAGAGAAGTTGTGGATTATGGAATGATGCTGGGTTATTGAACGATGCTGGATGGGAGCTCACTGAGGTGCTCTATGGTGTTATGATCCGGACCAATTTCGAGATACACATCCATCAGATAGTACAATGCCGTCCAATTGCAGAAAGAAATGAATGAACTTGAGAGGGGAGAAGAAAGAAGAGGAAGATGATGTACACCAGCATAGACAAATGACAAGGCTCTTGTTCTTCGCCCAACAATCTCCTCCTCCTTATCTCCCCCTTCTCTTATTCATACAAGAAATAATAATACAATGTTGAATGGCTGATCCAGAATCATTGTCAGAGTTCCTCTTCTACTGCCCCACTTGAGGTCCACCATAGCCATGGCCACCTCTTCCTCCCTTCGTCATCATAGGCCGAGGCTATGGCGGACTACTAGGCCTTGCCCAGATGCCCAAAGGACTACCCAAAGCAGCTATGGCCGCTCCAACTCAGGTTGCCATGCCTGACTCTGCCTCGAAGCTTCTTGGTGTAGCTCTCCGCAGTTGGGGACTCCCTGCTGCAGCGCCCACCAAGGTGATGAAGATGTCTGCCACCATAGCCAGGTAAGTACCCCTGGCGCTCCCCCCCCTTTCTGTCCTTCTTCCTGCTTTGTGTCCTTCTCCTTCTCCCAACAGCGCTGCTCCGGATAGCGCTGCTCCAGCCGGTGCTTCAACCAGTGTGTCGCCAAACTTGCACACCGAGAATGAGGCCGGGCTCTTCGCCCGGCTGGGAGATATAGCGGCCTGCTTGCCTCTTCGGGCGGTGACTTCCAGGCCGCTCGACCTTCCAAGCAACCGGTACCACCTCCCTTTCGGAGGGAAAATTCATTGCAGACTCTGATATTGCCCTTACAGGGCCTAGACCCAGACTGGTTGGACTTGTACTCGCCTAGACCTAACCTACAACTATTGGGCCTTCCTGCTTCAATCCCTCAATGTCACGCCGGTGGGAGATCCGTCCGTCGGATATTCAGGTAGGATTACGGAGAGCGGATTACAGATCTGTCAACTGTAATGCAACCTGTTGGGTGTCATGTCGGTGGCAGAATGGACGGAGTTGTTGTACAACTCCTTAACGGAATACGGCTCTTCATCCCATGCTTCCTGATCCGGAATAATCAAGGCGCGGAGAAGTTGAAACACAGTTTGGTTGATCTCCTCATCCAAACCATTGGCTTCGGGGTGTGGGCCAGATGTCATACACTGCCTGATTCCTAGTTGAGGCGTGAAGGCCTTCCATTCAGTAGTAATGAAGCGCGGATCCCGATCGCTCACAAGAGTCTTCGGGGTTCCGAACTGCGGAATGTACTTCTGTTTGAACTCACGGATCACTAATTCTGTTTGAGCGTGAGGTGGCAAAGGGATCAGATTAAGGAACTTAAAGAATCAGTCAACAATCACCATGACTTGTGAGTAGTCGTTCTGACTTACCTTTCCCAAGTCGGTGAAGTTGACGGAGACGGACTCCCCGGGACCATCGCGAATGGGAAGGGGTGTGAGTAGCCCCATGGGCTTTTGCCTGCATGGTTTGATTCGTTGACAAACTTGGCATTCAACCACAAACCTTTTAGCAGTCCCTTTCATGCCAGGCCAATCAAACTGTCTCAACAGATTTGCGTACATCTTTGCCATGGCGAAGTGTTCGCTCCGACCATGAGCCAAATCCAGAAAGTGCGTGCGGAGAGGCTCATGGTTGGGCACACACAAGCGGTCGTGGTTCCCGTAGCGACTGAAAATCAGTTCTCCATACGCGTGAAAATCAGGCTGACTGCTAGGGTCAGCCCGCAGCCGCTCAAGGATGGGACTAAGCTTCGAATGGTAGCCACTTCCACCTACATGCATGTACTCACGGTGGCGAGACAATGCATCAGCAACTCGATTGTAAGCCCTTTTTGTGTCTCAACTCAAAGTCAAAAAAGTCAATTTCATGGAACCAGCGAAGTAACGTAGGGGACAGGGTAGTTTGCTCCTTGATCCACTTCAGATTCTCATGATCTGAGTACACTTTGAAGTGGCGGCCCTAAAGATAGTGTTTCCAATGGTCCAAAGTCGTACGCAAAACACGCATGTAGGTGGAAGTGGCTACCATTTCGCTGGGCATGCGTTTGCTGTAATATTCGAGTGGTCGTAGGCCATCGCCGTCATCTTGCTGCAGCACTGCGCCGATTCCGTAGTGACCTGGATCCATAGTAACTACGAATGTCAAATTGGGATCTGCAATGCGGAGTACTGGGTAACATACCAAGCCTTCTTTCAAAGCTTCAAAGGAATTCGTGCAAGCGGTGTCCCAAGAATAGGGAACATTTTTATTTGTCAACCGTGACAATGGACGAGCAACAATGGAGAAGCGGGGAACAAACTTTCGATAGTATGATGCAAGACCAAGAAAACAGTGCAGTTCG